ACACAAGTTTGTAGTGCACAGATTCTGGTTCACAGTAGCGCATATGCCATTTGGTACAAGTGTTTAAGCAGTCTCTGGTAATCGTTACTACAGAGTCTGGTTGTACAGGGATGTTGCTTGATGTAGAAACGATCTTTTGAGACGTTCGGTTCTACATGAAGGCAGTGTGAGTTGGTGGTGGTTCCTGAGAGTTCTTCCAGTCCGCTGTTGTCTGTCCTCTGTGACCATGTGATGCAGCGGATGGTCACTGGAGCGCATCTGGTTGAGGAGTGCGACTGCTGCGTCTTCACGCCTGGACTGGAGAGTGGGCAGGGGGGTTGCAGCCGGGGAACTTCTGTTCCTGTTTATTATCCTCACGGCTCTTCTCTGCAGAGCTTCAAGTGTTTTTGCCTGTGAGTTGGTGCATCCGACATAGACCACGTTTGCATATTCCAGAACGGGTCTAATGAGGGTTGTGTACACTGCCGTTAGATCGTCTGCAGGCATGCCGCCTTTGGCAAGGAGCCGAAGGTAATGGAGGCGCTGTGACCCCTTCTTGGCCACGTGAGTTATGTGACTGTCCCATTTGAGGTTATCACTGATCTTGAAACCCAGGTAAGTGGCACATGTAACAACCTTAACCTCTTTTCCTCCGAGAATGAGGGGAGGGAGGACTGGAGGAACTCTAGAGAAGCATATCCTAAGTTCATATGACTTATCACCATTCATGGTCATGTTGTTTTGGGCTGCCCACACATCCAGGTTTGTTGCTTCTTCCTGCATAGAGTTGTCCAACTCAGCACTGACACAAGGGATGCATCTGGATAACCCAATGTCGTCAGCATACCCAATGTTGGTGGTAGTCGGGTGTTTCACAGAACGAGTGGACATGTAGACTAGGAATAAGTACGGTGATAATACTCCCCCCTGGGGTACTCCGGACGTGACGTCCTTCCAGCTGCTGAGTTGGCAGTTGACCGCTACACGTTGTTTCCTGTCAGTCAGGTAACTGTTCATCCATGTAAGCATTCTTGCGGGGATGTCACGGGTTGACAGGTGCTGTAGAAGAATGCCATGGTCAACTTTGTCGAACGCTTTCGACATGTCGGCAAGTAGCACACGCACAACTGAAGTCTGTTTGTTGTCAAGGCTTGTGAATAATTCATACTTCTTAAAGTCTGAGTGGCACAGGTAAAATTTTTCTGGACCAGGCACTGGTAATTTGTTACCTGCACCAGTACAGGTAATGCAGAAAGAAGTATTTTGATCCCTGACTGTGTTGTCCCTGCAGTCTCTGTTGTGTGGCCCCCCTCCCACCAGGATGAAGGTGTACCTGGATGGACAGCACCACGTTCTTCTCACCAGTATCTTCCAAGTAGCTGTGGATGTGCACTCTCTAGAAACTACTGATCTCAGTGAGTTCAACAGTCAAGTACACGTGTGCCAGCACGTCGGCAGAACGTACTGCGCCTGCGCAAAACCCTGTATTTTTACGGTTTTCGGTGGATTTTTGGTCAACGCTGCATCAGAATTTTGCCTGATGCAGAGGATATCTTTTCCGACATAACATTTGGAAACTGTAGACGAGATGTTTTCCTTATATGAGCGAATACGACCTTACATGAGACGTTCTGCCGAAGTGCTATGTACAATACATTGCAGGTTTCGCACAGGTGCAGTACGTTCTGCCGACGTGCTACGTGTGCCATATTTACATGTAGAGGAGCACATCAGCAGAACATACTGTGCCTGTGCAAAACCCTGATTTTTCATGGTTTTCATTGATACATTTTTGCCTGTTGCAGATATCTTTTCCAACACAACATTTGAAAACTCAAGATGTCTTCCTTAAAATGTAAATGTGACCAATCAAATATAAGTGAGATATTCTGCGGAAGTGCTTAATGCACAGCATTACAGGTTTCATGCGGGTGCCATACAGGTACATTCTGCCGATGTGCTAGCTAGAGATACAGAGGTACATACATTAGACAACTTATAAGACCCAGGCAAATATGCTACCTTTCTGTTTATTAAAGAAACAGTCACTGTGTCTTTGTGAGAATCTTTGTATAGACTGGTTTATTGTTGATGAACAAATAAATCCCAGGACCCACTGGCAGCCGAGATGCATTCGGCTGAATTGTTGGGTCTGGTTACAAAATACAACATTAATACAAATACAAATGGGCTATACAACTGTTTACACACATAGAATTTAAAATTTATAAAATTTAACAATTGTTTAAAATCTAATGTACACCATACTATTATTACAAATATTGAAATGTCTTAAAAGAGTAATTTATCAAAAGGTTCTTAAAAATGTTACAGTAAAGATAAGATTTGATAAGTCCTCATTGGTACTAGTTATATGTTTGGTATATCAAAAACAGTACTGTTGCTGGTTGGTTAATATAATCCATGTTCATGTAACCCTTGTGTCTCTCCTTAATAGATCAGTCCCAAGAACTCCAGGAGAAGATAGCAAAGAACTTTGACTGTATACTGAAGACATTTGAGTGTAAGTGTCTCTACATCAATATAATAATTATATTGAATCTACAAACTTAAAAAGTAAAGAAGCATGTTTTAATAGGAAGCACCAAACACTGAATGGAAAATAAACCTTAGGCACAGAAATCAACAAACAACATTATCGTCATGGTTGTTAGTTTCAAAATTATTGATGTTTTGATGTGTATGTAAAGCAGGCTGTTTATATTGTGTTAATTGTGCCAGCATGGCTACATTAATTTTGTAGTTGTGCTTGCACAAAGTCAAAATGTTAGTGGTGGCTCCTTGGTGTTGAAGAATCCTTCAAACTTTTCCATCAACCTTTCTTTAGGCAGGATCACCCAAAATTATTCATGTTTGTTTATCTTTCTAAGACTATTTCAGGTCACACTGTATACATTTTACTTTTAGGCTCAAATAAAATAACATGAAAACAGGTGCAGGGCTGGAAGACTAACTACTGGTAGTCCTGTATATTCACTCGTCCTACATGTACAATGTAAAAATCCCGCAAATGAAATTGGGGCATCCTATTAGGAATTATCACAGTAATTTGTTCTGCATCTTACAGTATGATATCATGGGTAGTTGCACTTCAAAAGTGAAAGAGATGTTGCACCAACATTGAAACTGCCCTAGTTTCTCTCAAGATACATGTAGACATACAATGACATGTACTTTTTATAGATACTAGAAATTATAGCCAGGGTAGATGAGCATAGGTGACATGAATGTATAATGCTTGTTTGGGCACCTACACCATATAATGTATCTTTGGAAATGGGCAGACGTGAAGCACAATTTTGACAAGATTGTTTGAGTTTGAGTTTTATTCAGATCCACAATTAGCCTGATAAGAGGCTATTCTTCCTGTGGTCTACACGTACAAAAACATTACAAAATTAACAGTACATGGCAAACTTTACACAAATTCACTATTTACAATCCAGTACTTTGCTAGTTGCCGCCTATGTTATTCTACAACTGTGACATCCTGTACATAAAGCGCTTTTTTTAGAGAGTTTGGTTTTGGTAGTCTGATTGTGTTTGAACTGGTTGAACGTGTTCGGTACTTGTGAATCTCAGATTGGAATGTGACTTTTCGTCTGTGCAGATGTTCTGGACTCCATGGACACCAGTATTGCCAGTCCTGGCTGCCCACCTCAGGTGTACCCACATGTACTGGAGGGGCTGGTGCTGCTAGTGGAGGTCAGTACCACTTTAGTGGTGTGGAAACCACAAACTATCAGTTAGTAGAAATTCTTCAATCAGTGACTGTATTTTGTAAGGTAAATCACACACCTCCAAATTTTCGGTGTCGACTGTACACCTTGACCACGGAATGACCTAGTCTCGCGAGAACACGAGACTAGGTCGAGACTTGAGTGGATGCACCGAAAATTTGGAGGTACGTGATTTACCTTCCAAAATACAGTCACTGATTGAAGAATTTCTACTAACTGTTAATTCTACGTGACTGATAAACCTCTTCAACGATCACAAACTATATTTTGAAGAAGTACATGTAGAGCTAAGGTCACTAATTTGAGAAGGTGCAGCAAGCCCATTTTGGGTAACCATTGGGGATTGCATCCAAACCTGTAAACTGTACAAATATAAAGTTTTAACTCTTTCTTGGTATATGTTGATCAGCATTTTCCAACTGGAGGCATTGTTTCTTTTTAGTTTGTTTTTAAAAAATGGGTTTTAGGCTAGAACTCTAGTTGTTCTGTAGTTAAACTTGAAGGCTTAATTTTTAGAGGGGTCATATGGTCACAAGAAGTTTGTTTTGGTCAGAACACAGTCATGTTCTGCCGTATTCGATTCTAAAATTTGGGATGAAATTGACAATTTATAGGGGTCAGACTTATTTGTCGATGTGTGTTTTTCATGGTCTAAAACTCAAGTACTAGGTGATTTTTGACAGCTTGTTTCTCATACATGTATGTTTGCCACATATATATTATTTATATTTAGTAAATTGTGTATCAACTAAAAAAAGAACCATCTTTCAAACCTGTAAATTAGCTGTATTACCTTTAGTTATCAACAACGTAACAGGCCTATATTGTCGTACAATTCTAGGATATCTAGTGAACTAAAAGGTCTCTTGACTTGAATTTCCAGACCCTGTGCTTGATGACACTTGTGACATCTCAATGTCATGTGATGCTTAAACCTATGAAAGCTACCCTGACAAAAAAGAAAAGGAAGAAGAAAAACCCCACAGTGGTTGTGGTGAGTATCACAATTTTCTGTCTGTGTACAGTGCATGTGGTCCATGTTTTACGTATCTTAATGTAAAATTACATTTTCCAGGCTTTCTTCAATATTATTATTGTTTTATGCTACTGTAACTCGTACATGTGACAGGCTTGTTTGGGTTGACTCTAAAGGTTTGAAGCATTTTAGAATAATTTAGTGTAATTTAGTTACACTAAAATTATTAGTGTATTAGTGTCTTTTGTATGTATTTGTTAAAACATTGTGCACTGCTCCATTTCAGCCTATAGTGGGTATTCCACTATAATTGCAATTCCAATAAAATTTTTAAATTAGCTTTTTTTCCTATTTTGGTTCTATCAGATGCTGCTACTAACCCTTGACATGAATTGTGAGGAAGACTGAAATAGGACAGGAAAAAAATTGTGTGTTAATTTTTTTACATTCAACTACCCAGGCATACAGATGGACGTTCATGCTAATTTTAATAATTTGTTTTTGCACTTTGCTCAGTGGTGACTAGTGATGCATACCGGTTCATTGGACTTGGATCCAGACTTAAAAAATGTTTAGGTTCAAGTCCAAAAAAACCTAAAAGTCAAGAACCGAGTCCAGACTTATTACCATAAAAGACCATTTCACATACCCCTTTTCTTTCCAAACCACCTAAAACCTTCCGTAGATTGTAAAATCTTTGCTGCAAAACAAAGAAAACATTGCCATCAGGCATCGTCAAGTACCGGCCTCCATGTTATGTCACCAAAGTTTCACCCAGACAACATTGCAAGGTTGCCAACATGCAATTTTGTATATGCCATGGGTTTAGGTGTGGACTTACAAGTCCGGACCTGAACCTAAACCTCTGGACTTGAATCCGGACCTGAACCTGAAATTGGGTTTAGGTATGCATCACTAGTGGTGACCTTCAGCATGTGTCTTGCCCTTCAGCCACAGGTGTTTGACAACTTCAAGACATTTGTAGACAGTCTGGTCCAGTTTGGAGAGAAGCTACATACACGCCTGACAGAAGTGAACACAGTCATCACAGCAGTAGATGTCAGTGGTTTGGAAATCGACCCAGCAGAGGTGAGCATTATTTGGGATATTAGCCATCTGACGCTTTGTCTTGCAGTTATTAGGCGACACCAATTCAATTTGTTGTTTCTCGGATTCGCCCAGTCCATTTTTGTCTTTGCAAAAAAACATTATATTTGCAAAAAAAAAATTTTTTTTGTTCTAAATCAACTGCAAAATGCTCAATGAAAGACATAGTTTGTCCCTCAAGTCCTTTTCTTTCTGGTTGTTAAAGCTTTTCAATGTAACAATGCAATTTTGTTTCATTAAAAGTTCAAAATCTATTGTTTTGATTTTAAACCAGCCTGGTATGTACATGGGTCATATTGTAACATTTTGGGCTATCATGGGGTTCCTTGGCCTGTTTTTTTTTTTCGCCCTGTCGCTTCAAATTTTTTCTGAAAAAATCCGAGGAACAAATTAAATTGGTGTGGCCTTAACTTAAAACAATATCTCAAGCAAACAAAAGACTCAGACTATACTTGGACAAGTTGTTCCCATGGAAGCAAGGCCTTGTCAAATGATGTATAAACATGCATGCTGCAAGGAAAATGGTTGTCAGGGTTGTATGAGAGACAAATTTTGCTAGTAGACTACATTTTAGTTTTAGATTAGTTTAATGACATCTCTTTAAGTAAAAAATTACATAAGGGTTTTGGCTTGATTTTGGGGAAAGTTTTTAGGGAAAGATTAGTTCTCTCCTTGATATTAGGCAAAAAGATCAGGCAAAATTATTGTCTGCCATGAGCAGCAAAACTCTGTCAGTTATATATATATGAAAAGTCTTTATCTTAAGATTATATAGTTACTTAAAAGATACATTTATTATGTAATAACATCTTTTTTCTTCTTCTGTTTTTTTTAACAGAAAGAGGCAATCAGTGTTGAGACTGTGTGGAACAAAGTGAAAGAGAGCTACCAGATATCAGCTGGGGAGACATCAGAAGTCCTGAAACAAAAGCTGCAGTTGCTCAGGACCATCAGATTGTGATAGGGCTGATTAGAGCTGTTTTTATGTAGTACAGATTCTGAAAGAACAACCAAATGAATTTCCTAGAGTAACTTAAACTTCAACCTGCATATTTCTCTTGAATCGGTGTTGTAGACTGACAGTTAAAGTCTTCAATCTTTCAACATGTGGTGGATTAAAGGCATTGTTTCATGAAGATAATTCAAGTCTATTTTATATATTACCAGGTGTTCTGACTACAGTTGCAAGGATTTTACCAGGATTTGAAGCAGAGGAATGAAGTTCACATACTTTATAGCCTAATTCTTGGTTAAACTTCACTTCCATAGACAGAAAGATACGTGTACAACCTCCTCAATGTTCTCCTGTTGTCACAACTGTAGCATTTGGATCTTTCACAGAACCTATTTTCTATCTATATGAATCGTACCTTCTCCTGCTGGCTTTTTTTACATCTTTATTTTCATTAACTCTTGACTATTTCTGCACTGCTGCGGCATAGTTACTTCTGCATTTGGTGCATTTCGCTGTGGTTTGATGCGATCATGTGAGAAATACGTACTCCCATCCCATAAATATATGGGACCCACTGTACAGGTATACAGTACAGGCCACGAAATACGCATCAAGTTCTGCGGGACGTACCGCGATATTCCGCAGGACGTCCCGCAATATTCCGCAGGACGTCCCGCAATATTCCGCATGACGTTCCGCAATCTTACGCACGGCGTTTCGCAATCTTACGCACGGCGTTCTGCGGTATTTCGCAGGACGTACCGCGGTATTCCGCACGGCTTCCCGCAGTGCACCTGAGAGCACTTTCGCAGAACTTTGCGAAAGTTCCGCAGAACACCCCTGCGTAAGGCCGCGTTTCCGCAGAAATACGTCCTTTTCATATGCAGGCCACCCGCGCCGTGGGCGGAGAAAGATCACACCCGGTTTGTTTACATTTTCTATAGCGCGGAGTGAAAATGTTCATGAGATCTGCCGATATTTTTTAACCAACAGTGTGAAGATCGTAAATTCCTGAGCTAGAATGTGGTTTAATAGATTGAGTTAAGATTTCTACCTCTCTGAAACGTGCATGTACACAAATGTATTTATCGAAAACATGATCGCTGTGGTCTGAATTGTTACAGGGTTCTAATTAGCGGGAGCTTTGTTTCTTGATCTTGTGTTTCTTGTTTTGAAACCCACGCTGATCGCGGAACACTTCCCGGTGGAATGAACGCCAAAATTGTGTCAAATACACAATAAACCCACATACAAATACAGTATATATGTATTCCCGAAAGATTCTTTCAGTCCTGAATTTATTTACTAGAATAGTCTATTTTTGGTCGTACAAAACAAAACAGCATTTTGAAAGAAATACATAATTTTACTCTTTGTCCGTCACCGGTACCCCACGCCGCCGCTGGCTTCCGAGCAACAACCAATCAGTTTTTAACCGTAAAATTTCGTACAATTCGCAAAGTTACCATTCTGGGATTTAGATGTTTAAAAATATACATTCTAAGGAACAGTTTCGTATGTAGTTTGTGTGGTTTTGAGTTAATTAGCGCGAGGATTGGCGAGAATGCAGAGGGTTCGTAGCGGTGGACGTGTGTTGCACTCGAGTGGGAGGGAGCGCTTCGTAACGTGCGTCCAGAAATGCCGGACAATTTTGATCGTGAAAAATCGTACAATTTCTAAATATAGCGATCTTGGATTCGGATATATTGAGAAATACATTTGTAAGGAACAGATTCATGTATTGTTTGTGTAGTTTTGAATAAACCTGCGCGAGGATGTAGAGGGTGCGATGTAGTGGGTGCGATGAAAATGGAGTCGATTTTTTTAGCCAAAAAAAAACGGCAACGCACCCGAAAAATAAATAAACACGGTACGGGACAACCCGAACTTGACGTGTTTATGCAAAATTTGACGCAGATTCATTTGTTCTCAGACTATAAAAGTTGACTCTGTGAAAATTTTGGGATGAAATCGGGACAAGAAAATTACAAAGCCGCGCCGGCCGTGCAGGGCGGAACAAGCTACTGTCGTCTAACAATCTTGAGGCGGTGTCTCTGGGCGGAGTCTCAACTCTTCTGCGGCCCAGCTGGTGGGCGGGTCCCCGTCTGCGCGCTGTGATTGGCGCGCCGGACGCCACGTGGTCTGCGGCGCCA